AAATAAAACACAGAAAAAAAAAAAAAAAGAATCATTATATTTCTGACCAGAGAGGTTGAATGGAATTTTCTGTGGAAACTGTTGGGATTTGATACAGCACCTTTATTTTTTTTTTAAAAAAGTAATAACAGGCCAGTTCCTTATGAGAAAGAATTCTTATAACAATTCTGTGAAAATATATAAGATACCCTTAATTCTCTTCTTTTCAGCTAAGATCCATCTGGCATTGGCTATGATGTCTCTAGTGCCATGGCATCTTCGAAACTCAGCTTGCACATCTGGCTGTTCTCTATAGATGTACTGTTCCAATTATTTTTGTTCAATAATTTCCACACTATTGGATCATCTGTGTTTTGGAATGAGAATAAATAGGGATTTCATCTAGTCAGTTGGCCAGGTTGTTGTCTTCCAGGTTTCCTGGCACAACCTGGTGAGCACATCCAAGTAGCATCTGTTTGTTGAAATGTGTCATTTGGTATTCCATTACTTCTTGGGCCTTGCTTTTTGCCATTTCTTTCAGGGCAAACTGAACTTTCTCCTTCATCACCATTGCCTCTTGATCATGTGTTATTTCATGAAATTCTTCTGTGGTAGCTAGTTCTTTCTGGTATAGTGACAGTATACACTGATCTTGATTTGATGCTTCCTGGATCATTCAATATTCTATCCATAGCATCCTTAAGTATTTTAATTAGAGGCTTGAATTTGTTCTTCAGTTCCTTTAGCTTAAGAAATGCCGAATGAATTAACATCTTGATTTTCTGACTCTAGCTCTTTGTACATTTTATTATTAATACTTTGCTTTGTCTTCCTGAGCTGCCCTTTGAAATCTTCTGTTCAACTCTTTAACTTCTTAATTTCTTCCTTTTGCTTTGACTTCTCAGCATTCTAGTACAATATTTAAAGTCTCTTCATCTTGGTATTTTCTTCCTCCTGTCATGACCTTTTATATTCTTCATGGATGATATTCTTGATATCTTCTCATATCTTCATTCATTAGTATTCAAGGCCTCAAATCTGCTCCTGAGATAGTTTTTAAATTCAGGCGGGATAAACTCAAGGTAAAATTTTTATTGTTGTTGATTTGCTCTGATTTTCTTTAGCTTTTGTTTGAACTTGCAAATGAGTAGTTGGTGGCCTGTTCCACAGTCAGCACCTGCCTAATTTTCAGAGTTGATATTGAGCTTCTCTAATGATTCTTTCCACAGATGTAATTGATTTGATTCCAGTATAGATCATCAGGTAAGGTCCCCATGTATGTAGTCACTGGTTTTTGTTTCTGAAGGTATTTTTAATGAATAAATCATTGATTGTACGAAATTGTATCATTCTGTCTCCAGCCTCATTTCTTTCACCAAGTCCGTGTTTTCTGACTACTGATTCTTCTTCCTTTTCCCTAACATTTGCATTCCTGTCACCTATGACTGTGCAAAAGCATTTGTGTGGATCACAATATTGTGGCTAACCTTGGGAATGGGAGTCCTGAACACCTGACTGTGATCATGTGAAACATATATACTCGGACCGGGAAGCAGTCCTCAGAACAGAGCAAGGAAATACTACATGGTTCAAAATGAGGAAAGGAGCATAAAGGAATACATCTTGTCATCATTCCTTTTCAATTTGTATGCAGAACAGATCATTCTGGAGGCTAGACTTTATGAGGAGTAATGTGGTATCAGGATTGGAGGAAGACTCATCAACAACTTGCATTATGCAGATGACACAACCTTGCTTGCTGAAACTGAGAAGTATCTGAAGCGTTTGCTTTAGAAGGTCAGGGACCTTCAATATGTAAAGTCTGCAATATGAATTGAAGCTCAAAATTAAGAAAACGAAGATTCTCACCACTGGGCCAATGGCAGCATCATGATAAATGGAGAAGAGATTGAGATTGTTCAAAACTTCAGCTTGTGTGGTTCCACAATCAGCACCCTTGATACCAGCAGTCAGGAAATCAAAAGACAAATTGCATTGTGGAAATTTGCTGTCAGATACCATTTCAGCATGCTAAAGAGCAACACTATCAGTCTGGAGCCTAAAGTGTGCCTGTCCCAGGCCATGATCTTTTCCAGTTACTTGCTATACATCAGAGAGCTGGTCAGTGAATAAGGATGACAGACAAATCAATGCTTTTGAATTGGGGTGCTGGAGAAGAATATTGAGTATAGCATGGACTGCCAAGAGAACAAACAAAACTGTTCTTGGGAGGATGAAACCAGGCTCCTCCTTGGAGGCCCTTTGAAGCTCTCTGTCTTACTTGGGCATGTTGCCAGAAAGGACTCATCCCTGGAAAATGACATCATACTTGGAAGGATGGAGGGTCAATACAAGAGAAGATGACCCTGGATGAGATGGATTGACAGTAACTGGAGTCATGATGGTAGGGTGTGTAAAGGACACACTGGCTCAGGTTCAGAGCTATTTATTGTGCATAGGGTCACTATGAGTTGCGGTTAACTTGATGGCACATAATTATAACAACACTCTCATTTCTGGCTAATGTGTTACTGTTGTATACTATCAAGTCAGAACCAGACCATAGCTAACCCTCCAGTGGGTTTTCAGGGGTAGCAAACAGCACAGTAGGAGATTGCCCATCTTCTGTGGAGCAGCTGATGGTTCAAATTGTGAATCTTTGTGTTGGCAGCACAATTTCTTCTTTCTTTCTTCCCCCTCTCCCCACAGTTGTGGAGTTTATTAGGGAAATAGGTTGAAGAATATATCACAATGGAAGTCCAAGTTTAGTCTAGCAATCCCAAACCAAATTAACAGCTAGGCCTAGTTCCTCAATTAGTCAAAGTCCAATTTCAGTTCAGCAGCACAAATGCAAGAAACCTCTGGTGTCTTCAGTCATGTAACAAACTTTATCTCAGAGTGTCTTCAGACATCCAGTAAACAAAACCTTTAACTGTGGCTTTTATCTCCAGGGTTCCTCTGGTTGCACCTTGCCACAGTCTCTTCACAGTGGTTCCATAATCTCTTCACCTGCTCTCTACCTCCATCTACTACCTTTTCTTCACAATGTGGAAAATGCTGTCTTACATATGCTCCACAGCCATTGATGATTTGCAAGACCATGTGTCTACAGTTAAATTAGCTGGAGATCATGCCCCCAGTGGGGGCTAGCACAATAGCTAAAAATTCCAATTTTCAAGGGTTGTGACACCTCATCCCCAGATCTTTCTAGTTTGCTTTAGTTTGGTAGCTCTGTTCAAATATATTGAACATCATAACCACATGCAAGCCTCCATTGACAAACAGTAGAGGCTTCACATGAGATGCCTTGTCCCAGAATTCTCTTCATTAATGCATGTTAACATTAAAATACCCTCCTACTTAAAAAAAACAAATAACTCAGCTCTCTTAATGTGGCAGCAAAATTTCTTAAGCCAACAAAGCTGATATAAGTGAGGGGCAAAATTAGAAGCGAATCTTCTATTTTTCAGACTGACTGGATTGTCTGTAAACATTTAATAGATGTTTAGCTTAAACATTTTTGTGCTTTGTTTTGCAGGAAACTGATACTTTGTCAACATGGAAATGAGACACTTGTATTTGAAAACCATGGAATGGAGGACTAATACCTTGTCAGGATTTTTATAAACCCGCATATAAGCTCTTATTCTGGTACTCTCGTCCGCCTCATCTCACCTTTGATCTTGTCTTACCTATGGCATTCAAGAGGCAAGTAAAAAATTTCATGAAAAATTACTCAGATGCTGAAATAAAAGTCAGGGAAGCTACTTCTAATGACCCCTGGGGTACTTCAAGTTCTCTGATGTTGGATATCAGCAACTTGACTTACAACACGATTTCTCTCTCCGAGATTATGAATATGCTATGGCGGAGACTCAGTGACCACGGGAAGAACTGGCGCCATGTATATAAGTCTCTTACACTAATGGAATATCTTATTAAGAATGGATCAAAGAAAGTTATTCAGCACTGCAGAGAGAGGTTCTATAACCTTCAAACACTAAAAGAATTCCAACATATAGATGAAGCTGGAAGAGATCAAGGTAACAGTTAAAGTAGACTGAGCGTGTCAATAAAAAAAGGAGTCTGGGAGGGATGATTTTCAAGTTGTTCTTCATGGGAAAGTGACAGTTCTAGTTTCATCCTTTGTGTTGACTCTCCAGTGCCTTAGAGAACAGTATTTTTTCAAAAGAATATGGAAACTGAGCACAGTGAGGCTCCAGTAGCATGATACCTCATAGAAGGTGAATAATGCGAATAAGACATGGCAATTTGTCATAATAAGTGTGCTAATTCATAATTATAATTAGATTAGAATTTAGTCAGAAATGTAAGGAAGTATTTCCAAAGGCTGTAGAATTTTCAGAAACTATCTAGATAGAAATAGTTACCTGAATACAAAAATTTAGGTCATAAAAGAATTCTCTTGGGGGTGGAGGAGGAGGTGAAGTAGAGAGCGTATAGAGAATGCTGAGATGATTCCTTCGTGCCTCACTGTCTACAATGGTAAAAGGATCAGCACTTCCTAGCTAATACAAAGTAATAATTTGGAGTTAAAGGGAGTAGACTTATCTCAATAAAGGTAAATTCAGTGCAGGCTCAGTGCTAAGTATACATTTTGAATTTAATATAATTTGTGATATTTAAACTAAGTACATATGTGGTAATTGTTTATTAGAATTTCACTAGTCAGAACACTCTATATCTTAGAATATGCTGAATAGTTTATCAAATGATCTAAAATACAATAATATAAGTGAAGTATAAAGGTATAGCAATACCTTCCTATTTAATTTCTCAACATATATTGTTTATGTGTGAGAACACTAGCCAACGGTTTGCATGATTGTTAGGATTTTCATGACTACAGAGTATGTAATTTTCAATCTTTTGAAAAATCAAATGAACACATTTTAGAAGATAATTACAATGCAATACAGTCTTGATTTCATATCATATGAGGACAAGGAATTTTTCACCACTAAAAACAGATCTTTTATAGAAATACTGCTTTATGTTCTTGTACACAAGATAGAAAATACTGAGTGAACAGCATTCAGGAGTTGTCTTAGAAAATAATGCTAGTGAGCTATTAAATAGCACTACAGAGAATATAACTCTATGGGGAATTGAAAATAGATTGTAATAATTTTAAGCATGGTAATTTGCTTAACATATACTTCTTTCTTAACATTTATTATTCTTAATGCTACTTGGAGGAAAACACTGTGACAGATGTATAGCTTTATGGATTTACTGAATGTGGACATATTACTCCTAGATTACTGATTCCAATTTGGTACTGGTTGGGAGCTGACTATAAACAGCTAGACTGTGAGAATTGTCTCTGTGGGAACTTAATTTGTGGTTTGGTTTTGAGATACACAGTAAGCATGTGGTTTGTTAGAAACATGTAGTTACTAATAACATCAGTAACATGTAGAAACATTAGGGCTTATTGACAGCTTAATAGGGAGCCCCAGTTGTACAGTGGTTAAAGTGCTCAGCTCCCAGCTGAGAGATCTGTGATTTGAGAAAGTCCGAGCAGTCTGCCCGATTCTGTAGAGATTACAACCTTGGGGACTCTTCAGGGCAGCTCTACCTGCTCCACTGTGTGGCTGTGAGTCAGAAATGATGGGATTGGGCTTGGGTCTTGACAGATTGGCAACAAAATGAGTAAATATTCCCCTTCAGTGTGAAGAATGGGGATTTCAGTATCACTTACTGAGTGCATACAGAACCTGGACATAAACCAAGAGGCAGCGTTTCAAATACAAGGGGATACTGTGTGGTTGAAAATGAAGAATGGTGTGTGTCAGAGTTGTATCCTGTCACTATATTTATTGAGTCTATATACAGAGCAAGTAATCTGAACAGCTGGGCTAGATAAAGAAATATTTGTTGTTGTTATGTGCCATTGAGTTGCTTGTGACTCATAATGACCCTGTGTACAAGAGCCCTAAACTCTGCTCAATCCTGAGCTAACTTTATTGTCTCTGACACACCTACCCCCATTACCCCAATCACAGAATCAGTCCATCTCATCAAGGGTCTTCCTCTCTTGGGCTTTCCCTCCACCCTCTCCAACATGATGTCCCTCTCCAAGGACTGGGCCCTCCTTGCAACATGCCCAGGGCCCTCCTTGCAACATGCCCAAAGTATATCAGATGAAGCTTTAGAATCCTTGCCTCCAAGGAACAGCCTGGTTTTACTCTCTCCAGGACGAACCTGTTCTGCTAGCAGTCCACGGTGTGACCAACACTCTTCTCCAGCACCACAGCTCAAAGGCATCAATTCTCTTTCTATCATCCCTAGTCATTGTCCTGCTCACTGACGTATAGCAACCAATTGTGAAGACTATGGCCTGGATCAGGCACACCTTAGTCTCCAGCCTGATGTTGTTGCTCTTTAGTACTCTGGATAGGTCCTTGACAGCTGACTTTCCCAATGCAATTCATCTCTTGATTTCCTAGCTACTGGTGCTAAGAGTGTTGATTGTGGAGCCTAGTAAACTAAAACTGTCAACAATTTCAATCTCTTCACCATCCATAATGATGCTGCCAGTTTGGCTCAGTGGTGAGAATCTTTGTTTTCTTGATGTTGAGCTTCAATCAATATTGAAGGCTGCAGTCCTTGACCTTCTACAGCAAGTGCTTCAGGTCCTCCTCAGTTTCACAAGCAGGGTTGTGTCATCTGCATCACACAGATTGTTGATGAATCTTCCTCCAATCCTGATTCCACATTCCTCCTCATACAGCCCAATGTCCCAGATGATCTGTTCTGCATATAGATTGAAAAGGTATGGAGACAGAGTATATCGCTGGCAGACACCGTTCCTGATTTTGAAACATGCAGTCTCCTTCCTCTCTATATCTAGACTCTCACTTCTATTTTGTTGGTCTGTTATTCAATCACTTGTTGCTGTCAAGTCAGACCCACTCAATAGCTGACCTTCCACTGGGTTTTCAGAGGCTGTAAATTGTGCAGGAGGAGATTGCCTACCTTTCTCCTGTGTAGCAGCTGATGAGTTTAAACCACTTGTTTTTGATTGACTTCTTACCCATTAGGATCTGCCTGTTCTTATGACAATACCTTATCTGCAGCTTTGTAAAGTAGTTGTTATGTGCCATCAAGTCGTCTGCGTCTCATAGCAACCCTATATGTACAGCAGCTCTGAAGCCTGCTCTGTTCTGAGCCAGTCTCACTGACTCTGACACACCTACCCCCATTACCCCTAGTTACTGTGTTAATCCATCTCATCTTGGATCTTCTTCTCCTGTGCTGTCCCTCCACCTGTCTTTCTCCAAGGATTGGTCCTGCCCACATGCCCAAAGTATGTGAGATGGAGCTTCAAAATCCTAGCCTCCATGTAGAAAATTGGTTTTACCCTCTCCAAGACAGACCTGTTTATTTCCTTGGAAGCCCAAGGTATGTTTAGGACTCTTCTCCAGCACCATAACTCAAAGGCATCAATTCTTCTTTCATCCTTAGTCATTATCCAGCTCTCTGATGTGTAGCAAATAATTACAAAAACCATGGCCTGGATCAGGCACATCTTAGTCTCTAGACTGAAATAATTGCTTCTCAGTACTCTGGAAAGGTCCCTGACAGCAGACTTACCTAATGCAAATTAGTTTTTTATTTCCTGACTGCTGGTGATTGTGGAGCCAAGTGAGCTGTAACTGTTAACAACCTCAATCTCTTCTCCATTTATCATGGTGCTGCTAGTGGGCCCAGAGGTAAGAATCTTCTTCATGTTGAGCTTCAGTCCATATTGAAGACTACAGTCCTTAACCTTCTGCAGCAAGTGCTTCAGGTCTTCCTCAGTTTCATCAAGAAGGTTGTCATCTACATAATATAGGTTGTTGATGAGTCTCCCTTCAATCTTGATAAAATATGAATGTATGAGCCCTCTGATGGTGTTCTTTTTAAAAATTATTTAAACTGTTCTCTTTCCCTCACATTTTCATATAGAATTTAAAATTAGCCTGCCAGTTTCTATAAAAAAGGCAAATGAATTTTGATGAAGAGTGCATTGAGTTAGTAAATCAATTTGGGATGTTCTACTACCTTAAGAGTATTAAATCTTTCAATTCCTGCACACTCTATATGTTTTTCCACTTATTTAGGTTTTCTTTGATTTCTTTCTATGATATTTTCAGTGCAGATTTTTTTGCTTCTAATATTCATTCCTTAATATCTTACTCTTTTTGATGCCATTATGTGTGAAACTTTTAAAATTTCATTTTTTGAGTTGATGAAAATGTATGTAAGTACAGCTGATTTTTGCATTTTGATCTTGGATTGTATAACCTTGTTGAACAGGTTTATCAGCTCTGCAAATGTAGTTTTACCTTGTCCTTTCCAGTCTAGATACTTTTAACTTTATTCTTGCCAAATTGCCCCAGCGAGAACTCCAGTACTATGTTAAATAGAAGTGGTGAGAGGGAACATGGTCTTGCTTCTGATTGCAATAGGAAAGCTTTCCGTTTTTCATCATAAGTACAGTGCTGTTTTTGTTATGTGCCGTTAAGTCACCTGTGACTCATAGCGACCCTATGTACAGTAGCTCTCTATCCTGCCCTGTCTTGAGCAAGTTTAACTAATTCTGACTCATCAACCCCCATTGCCCCAGCCACTGTATTAATCCATCTCATCCTGGGTCTTTTTCTCCTGTGTTGTCCCTCCACCCTTGCAATCATAATGTTCTTCTCCAAGAACTGGTCCTCTTTGGCCATGTGCCCAAAGTATGTGATATGGAGCTTCAAAGTCTTAGCCTCCAAAGAAAGACTTGGTTTCACCCCCTCCAAGACAGTTCTATTTCTTTTCTTAGTGTGCCACAGTATGTCCAAGACTCTTGTCCAGAACTGTAACTCAAAGGCATCAATTCCTCGTCTGTCATCCTTAGTCATTATCTAGCTCTCTGATGCATAGCAAATAATTGTAAAGACCATGGCCTCGATCAGGTGCACCTTAATATCTAGACTGACATTGTTGCTTCTCAGTACTCTTTTCCAGTGCAATAAATGTTTTGATTTCCTGA